ATGGTGAACTGTCCCTGCGCAAGGCAGTGCCCCGAGCACTTCCCAAACGTTGTGTCTTCAATTCTAACAGCAGCCGCGGGAGGCTGGTCCTTGGCTTAGCTGATTGCACCAGTATTACGATTGAGGCTTTAGCGAGGGCTGAGTGATGTGCTCAAGGTCACGTAGGTCACATGGCTCATGGTCGTGGAGCCAGAGTCCAACCCTGGTGGGTGTGAAGCCCTTAGTTCAGTGGTCCCCAACCTTTTTGGCACCAGGGATCAGTTTCATGGAAGACAGTTTTTCCATGGCTGGGGGGTGTGGGGATGGCTTCGGGATGATTCAAGCGCATTACATTTACTGTGCAGTCAAACCTCCCTGCTAATGACAATCTGTATTTGCAGGCGCTCCCCAGCGCTAGCGTCACCGCCTCAGCTCCACCTCAGAGCATCAGGCAGTAGATTCTCATAAGGAGCGGCAACCTAGATCCCTCGCATGCGCAGTTTCCAGTAGGTGCCTGCTCCTATGAGAATCTAATGCTGCGGCGGATCTGACAGGAGGAGGAGCTTATGCAGTGATGCAAGTGATGGGGAGCGGCTGTAAATACAGATGAGGCTTCCAATGCTCACCGCTCACCTCCTGCTGTGCAGCCCGGTTCCTAACAGGCCATGGACCAGTACCAGTCTGCAGCCTGGGGGTTGGGGACCACAGCCTTGAGGCTGTCTGTCATCTAGTCCTGACTCCAAAAGTGCATCCCTGTCGCCTTAGCTCATCCTGGTCCTGAACTGTAGGCAGGACAGGTGTTGCTATTGTTCCCAATTTTCAGATTGCATAACAAAGGCCCTGATAGCAGCAGCAACTTGTTCAGGTGACACAGTGGGTCTCCAGCCTCCCACATGCAGGCCCTGTGCTGCTACCTCCCCGCCCCCTGACATCCCCTCCTGCAGACCTGCTGGAACTGTCCCACAGAAGGGCCCAAAATGACTGGCCAGGGGAGCCTGGCCCCAGAGGCTCAGAGCAGGGCAGGGTCTCAGGCAGAACCTGGGGGCTGAGCCAGGGGACTCCTCTGTCCCCTGGGCTCTCTGGGGAGCTGAGGGTGGGAAGTGGGGCAGGCTGGTGTCAGGCTGGCCTACCCATGAGAGCTGTGACGAATGATGTGGCCTCTGCTATGTGAGCCCCACGTGTGCCCCAGACTTCAGCCAGATTGTCCTGAAAACTGGAGAGAGAGAGGGGCAAGGAAAAGTGGAGCGAGGAGGAGAGTGTCCCTGCAGGGTGGAGCTGGGGACCCTGGGGCACCAGGAAAGGTGCGAAAAGACATCAACCTCACTCCCTCACCTTTACAATGAGAGTGATAGCAGTACCACTCCAGGGAGTTGTCGGAAATGTATGAGCTAATGCAATTAAAGTGCTCGATACAGTGTTTGAGTTATTGGGTGCACCCAATCAATTACTATTTGTCACAAAGAACTAAAACCAATGTAAAGTATAATTAGATGTAGACATAAGGATCAACCAAAACCAGTGCAGAAACCTGCAGATCAGCAGGGTAAAGAGATTTACTGCCTTGGACGAGCAAATGTGATTCTGAGCTTCCTCGCGGCCACATCAAAAAGGGAAATGTGATCAATTGTATAATAGAACTTGAATTATCAAGAATGAGGAAGCAAGCTAGTCCCTCAGGGGAAACAACCTTTTTTCCTTACCCTGAATGCTCCGGAGCATTTCTCCCTGGGCCGGGGGTTTCATAAAGGGAGGCAGTGGGCAGCATCATTGGTCGGGAATTACATATCGCAGTTGTGATTTTCACATGGGAGCTGCCTGCACAGACCTTGAGGGAAAGATGAAGGAAAATCTGAGAAGGTGCCTTGGGGAAGGCTGTTCCGTGGGTGGACGAGGAATGTGATAAAGATCTGGGCTCTCAGAATTGGAGCTAAGGCTTCCAGGGCTTGGGCAGGTGCGATTAGAGGCCACTAGCCCTTCAGGGAAGCAGGGAACTGAAGAGTCTTTTCACTTGGGATTCTTGAAAGTCAGATTCTGGAGTCAGACCTCCTAGCTGTGTGGCCTCAGGCCAGTGGCTTCCCCTCTCTGAACCTCAGTTTTCTCATCTGCCAACTGGAGTTATCCTTGCAGGGCTGTTGGCATTGCACGGAGTCTTGGGTAGCTCAGTATTTGGCCTGTGGTGAGCACTCGCAGAAATTTTAACTGCGTGTATGCACACACTGGGTGTAAACTGTGTATACACAGCTACACATACTTTATTTCGTAAGTTTCCTGGTTGTGGGGGGCGGGGTCTAAGGAATATGAATAATTAGAATTTTACAGCTCTTTACAATTTACAGTCGGCAAAGGATTCTTCATCATTTCACACGATCCTCCGAGCGACTGAGGCTTACCTCCGTTTGAGGGAGGAAGGGATTGGGGCTTAGAGAAGCAGTGTCTCCCCGGACCTGCCCTTGAAGTCAGAACTGGAGAGAGAAGTGGGCAGGCAGGCCCTGGTCCTCCGGCCTTCCTGGCCTCTGCCTGCCTTCCCAGGCAAGGGCCATTTTAGAAGGGAGTTAGGAGTGGAAGCCTGAGAAACAACAATAACAAGAACGCAGTGCTCCAAGCACTTTCCATGTGACGTTTCATCCTCATGAGCCCATTTTACGGATAGGGCAACTGAGGTGTGGAGAAGGGAAGTGATCTGTCTGAGGTCACAGGGGAGCTCATGCAAACCCAGGATGTGGACACAGGTGGCCTGGCTGGGCCCCAGGGTCTGCTGTTCTGCCCCGGCTCTGAGCAGGAACGGGCTCTGGACAGGCGGGATGGGTGTTGGGACAGAGGCTCAGGGCAAATCTGTGACTTGGGTCTCCCTTACACTTCCAGGGAGAGCCCAGGAGCTAGTGGCGGGCAGGGGCAGGGACACCGACACACTCAGCATGAGGAGTGAGGGGTGGACAGACAGATATCCCCAGAGGATGTCAGTGCCACCCTGTGCCAGCCCAGCCTGGCTGCAGCTCAGAGACGGAAAGACGTGGCCTCTGACCCGAAGCTGCTCCCAGCACAGCTGGAGAGCCCAGCATGACATCATGCGCCTGGCCCGGATCTCTGCAGACTGCGCTGCGTGACGCGCTCAGTCCCGGGTCTCTGCTCCTCCTCCCCGTCCTCTCGGTGCTCAGATACCAGGCCACTGCCAACAGGTGGCCGGGTACTGGGGCTGGGGAGATGCCTGGCGGGCTCTTCCTCCTCTCTCTGCCTTTCCAGCTTCTTAACTTGTCCTGTAAAACTCAGCTCGGGTACCACCTGCCCCAGGAGGCTTTGGATTCCCAGGCTGGGTGGCAGCCCTGCCACTGGGCTTCTCGGGCGTTCTGGGCTTGCCCCGGCTGCAGGGCTGTCTCCCTGCCTTGCAGCTGGGAGCTCTTTCTGGGAAAGGACCCTGGTAAAGCCATCGCCTCGTCCCTGGTGCCTGCACAGCCCAGCACAGGGAATGTGGACATGGTCCTTTCTTCCTCAAGGACACACTTGATGATGACCATCAACCTGGGCAGTGCGGAGTGATGCGTGGGAGCCCAGTTTCTGCAGCCCCGGTTCAAATGCCAGCTCTGCCACCCCCGCCTGTGCTTGGGCACAGTCCTCATCTCATCTCCCTGAGCCTCCCTGTGGCCCTCGTGGGGTTAAAGTGAGGCCATCTGGACCGAGAGCTCAATGCGTGTCCCCCGTTATCGCCGTGAGCGCTGGTCGGGTTTCCTCCAATCACAAGAGGGCTGCTGCAGGGTCCCCATCTCCCCCCCGTGCTCCAGCGTCACAGGAACCCCCCGAGGGACCCCTCCGTGGGCATCTCTGGAATATCGTCCCAGCGTGCAGAGTGGGACGGCACCCAAGCTTGGAGCCCAGAGCCCTCAGTGGAATCTTCCAAGTGGCTTTTATTTAATAAAAGCAAAAGACGGCTTTTATGTAATAAAACATAACCTCAAGCCCGTAAGGATCAGTGATGAATTTATGTGGAGGAAGGTTGGAGTTATTTATAATGAAGCATCGACTGGCAGTCTCGCCAAGCTGAAAGGTCTGATTTGGGGCCTGTTTGTCGAGATGAGGAGAGGTCGCGCAGCGAAGAAAGAGCGCGGACTCCGGGGTGTCAGAGCCCCGGTTTCACATTCTGCTCGTCAGCCAGGCCCTTGGGGCAGTGGGCAGCAGCGTCATCCCTGGTATTCATCGAGGGCTTCCTCTGTGCCAGCATCAAGCTAAATGCTCCACATTCCTGATGCTTTAGTTCTTACGTCCACTCTGTGAAGCGAGTATTCCCATTTTACTGATGAAAACACTGAGGTTCAGAGAAGAGAAATCATGTGCCCAAAGCCGCACAGCTGGTAAGCGGTCAAGGCGGTGTTCGAACCGCGCATGTGATCACTGCCTCTAAGACCTTGCAAGCTTGCCAACGCCTCGGAATCTCAGTTTGTTCCTCCATAGCTTGGAAAAAATACTCAACAAAGTTGCTGTGGAGACAGAGTCTGCAGCAAATTCCTGGTGCCCAGAGCATGCCCGGTGAGAAGGAGGCTTCTTTCTCTGAGCCTCGGTTTCCCTATTCCTTAAAACGAGAATCCCCGGGAAGACTCAATGACACAAGGGAATGAAAGTTCTTGGCACACAGCAGGCGCTCTGGGAAGTTCCTCTTCTGTCTTCTGTGCCCAACACTGCCTCGAATGGTGATTTTGGGTCCCACCCTGGCAGTGGATTTGCCCTGAGCCATCCACGCTTGGCCATCTTCCCTCCACCGACTCCCGACTCAGGCTGTCGTCTAGCGATATGCGGGGACAGGGGAATGGCCGGGATGAAGCATCCAGCAGCTGATCTGGGGGGTCAGGTTCAAGGGCCTCCGTCCCTTCCCAGCCGGGTAACCTCGACTGAGTAACGGCTTTTCTGAATTCTGCTTCCTCCTCCGTAAAACGAGATTGAGGTCGATAGATCCTATTTCTGGCTCTGGGTCCACTCAGTGCTCTGATTCTTAGACCTGGATCCAACCGCTGCCTCCTTTTTCTTTTCCGCAGGTGTTTCCAGCCGTGCACAGGGACTGATTGGCCGAGGACCCACGTTCTTCGGACACCGTAACGGGGAACGGTGAGGAACTCTAGTGATGTGAACTCCAAAGGGAACCAGTGACCACTGCGAGGGTGGGGAGCCAGGAGGATGCCAGCAAGGCTGTCCCCTGGGTTTTGGAAGCATGGCCGGGCCAAGTTCACGGTGCCAGGGCATCTCTCCTTCCTTGCACTTGGCATTGTTGCGATTCTCCCATTACGTGAGGGACTTTTTGATGAATAGTTGTCTCCCACACCAGACTGCAGGGGCAGGAAGGATCCCATAGAGCCAGAAAACATGTCGTCGAGAGGACAGACTCTGAAGCTTGGATTTGAATCACAGCTCTGCCTTTTCCTAGCTGCATGACTTTGGGCAAGGGACTTGACCTCAGTTTCCTCGTTTGTAAGACAGAGTTTGTAAATGGCCTGCCTCACTGGGTTGTGGCAAGGATCAAGAGAGTTTATATATGCAATGCCCTTGGAATAGTGCCTGGCACGTAGGAGGTACTGGAGAGGTTTCTGTTAAATAAATAAAGTAGCAAAGCAGGAAATGGTTAAATCGTAAAACTGGCCTCGCCTGGAGTCAGGGAGGACATTGTTGGTCTTGCTAGTGGTGTTGGTCAAACTCTTAAGGCCGGTTCCAAACCGACATTCCCTAATGGCCCTGTCTTCCACTGCAGAGCATGGAGGATGAAGACTACAACACCTCTGCCCTCTATGACGAAGACTACTCCGACGACTTCGACTCCATCGTGGTGTTGGAGGAGTTATCTCCCCTGGAAGCCAGGGCGGCCAGGATCTTCCTGGTGGTGGTCTACAGCCTCGTCTGTTTCCTCGGGATTCTAGGCAACGGTCTGGTGATTGTCATTGCCACCTTCAAGATGAAGAAGACAGTGAACACCGTCTGGTTCCTTAACCTGGCCGTGGCAGATTTCCTGTTCAACGTCTTCCTCCCAATCCACATCGCCTACGCCGCCATGGACTACCACTGGGTTTTTGGGACCGCCATGTGCAAGATCAGCAACTTCCTGCTCATCCACAACATGTACACGAGCGTCTTCCTGCTGACTGTCATCAGCTTCGACCGCTGCGTCTCTGTGCTGCTCCCCGTCTGGTCCCAGAACCACCGCGGCGTCCGGCTGGCCTACGCGGCCTGCGTGGTCATCTGGGTCCTGGCGTTCTTCTTGAGTTCGCCGTCCCTGGTGTTCCGGGACACGGCCAATCTGCACGGGAAGACGTCCTGCTTCAACAACTTCAGCCTGGCCGCGGCTGGGTCTTCCCCGGGGCCCACTCACCCCCGACTGGACCCCGTGGGGTACAGCCGCCACATGGTGGTGACCGTCACCCGCTTCCTCTGCGGCTTCCTGGTCCCAGTCCTCATCATCACCGCCTGCTACCTCACTATCGTCTGCAAGCTGCGGCGCAACCGCCTGGCCAAGACCAAGAAGCCCTTCAAGATCATCGTGACCATCATCATCACCTTCTTCCTCTGCTGGTGCCCCTACCACACGCTGTACCTCCTGGAGCTCCACCACAGGGCCGTGCCTGGCTCCGTCTTCAGCCTGGGCCTGCCCCTGGCCACAGCTGTCGCCATTGCCAACAGCTGCATGAACCCCATTCTGTACGTCTTCATGGGTCAGGACTTCAAGAAGTTCAAGGTGGCCCTCTTCTCCCGCCTAGTCAACGCTCTGAGTGAGGACACAGGTCACTCTTCTTACCCCAGCCACAGGAGCTTTACCCGGATGTCGTCAATGAACGAGAGGAGTTCCATGAACGAGAGGGAGACCAACATGCTCTGAGCCTCGCCTAGGGGCCCCCAGTGGAGACTCCCAACCCCCAGGATGCCCAAGGACACGTCTTCTGAAAACCAAGGCAAGAACCTCTTTCGCACCCACCGATGTCCTCTGCATGGGGAGGAGCAGTGTTTTGAGCTGTGAATCCAGGGTCTGGAACCCTTTTCTCCAAGTGGCACAGTGGAGAGAGCCTTCCATGGTGCTCACAGCCTTGCACTAGCAACCTGTGCCTCTTGGAAGACCCACCTTGACCCACTGAAATTGAAAAAGGAAGAATTCTCCGAAGCACTGCCATGATCTGGGGTTGGCATACAGTGGCAGGATTAAGCTCCTTGCCGTGAGTGCCACAGATACGACACACACATTTTATAAGGTCCATTCCTGGTGGGTGCAGGACAGGTCACAGCAAACCCGGTGTGATGCAGATCACACCTGGCCCTCACAGCTGTATCAATAGCCAGCCAGAAAATCCTGCCCCTAAAACCATTCCTCTGGGTTAAGGCACGTGCAAATGCACAGGTGACGGGGAGGCGAAGGCGACCTGATAGCCCATGAACTCCCAAGACCACGGATTTGGCCTTCAGATCAGCCGGGAAGACAGAGAACAGGTCCTGAGGCAGCATGTGGGCGCGTTGCAAGGGCGGGACCAGGGTGGGGGGTGTGCAGCGAGGCCCCGGGGAAGGAAGGACAGAGAAGACCAAAGAGTCTTCATGGGACGCGGACGCAGAACAGCTCACCCTAGACCTTCACAGGGTGACGGTGCTCTCGGCTGGAGCTATTTGCAGGGTGTGGGTGGTGGCAGCCCCTGATCTCACCTCGCCTTTATTACCTGGGGGTGGGGTTGTGGTGGGCAGGGGTTCTTCCTTCCTTGCCTAATCCACTCAGCTCTGGCTGGAGGTGCTTAGAGTAAAACACTGGGTGCTGGGGGAGGGGGTGGGGGCGGGGCTTCTTTCCTCTTCAATTTCCTCCAAGTCTTGCTGGAGACTGCTCTTAAATGCAGCCTCGGGAAGCGACTTTGGAGCGTCTCCTGGGAAGAAGAGTGTGTCCAAGGACTCAGTCACCGAACTCAAAGCAGAGTCTGGAGCCGGCGTCCTTGACCTGAGCTCCTGAGATGCAGACGCCGCGCTGCATGGCTTTTCTCATCTGACGCCAACACCTGCCTGTGGCAGAGGGTGTCATTTCCCAGTGACACAGCTGGGGCTCAGAGGAGGAAGTACTCTGCCCAACACCAGCCAGCTACTCAGTGGCAGAGTTCAGATCCGAACCCAGCTGGGCCTGGCTGCAGAGGCTCTGTTCTTTCATTGAAAATTTACCTATTGAGATTATTCTAGACTATAACGCTAGCCTACATTTATTTAGCACTTTCCATGTTAAGCACTTTCCATGCGTTTTCTTATTTATTCCTCACAGCAATCCTGAGTTAGGTACAGTTATTACTTCCCTTTCTCATAGGAGGAATCTGAGGTCAGAGAGGTTAAGTAACTCACCCAAGGGCACCCAGCTAGTCTCTGCCGGGGCCTGGATTTGAACCTCAGTTTGCCTGGCCCAAAGGAGGCTGCAGAGTCAGGAAGGAACTAGAAAGGTTGGGGGTATTGATCATAAATATTGATTCTTCTGTAGATGAATGTGAACATCTTAATGGCCTTTAAGAAGCTTTGCAAATAGTTTTCAAAAATGACGCAATGTGGCAAAGAAAACACACGTGGCTTCCAGCTCCCCCGACAGCCATCAACAGCCACCCCAGCCACGGATCGCCCATCTTGCATCCCCTGAGGTCCCCAAGGAGGGCAGTGTGGACAGAGGCCTGGCAGGAGGCAGCCGCTTGTGAGCCCGAGGCCCTTCGGCCCCTAAGTGTCCACGTCTTGTTCTCTTCCAAGTCCCCAAGCCGTTAAGCGAATTCTCCAACAGGATGCAGCGAACAGATGCGATGTCTGCCCCGAGCTGGGCAAGTCCCCAAGGCCACGGGCTGTTTGGAATGGCACTTCATTAAGAGACAAACTGTTCTGTCCCTCCTGCATCTTTTTTTTAAAAAAACTTTATATATTTTTTAATTTCAAAATATTAAAGTGGTACAGATGTTTTCGATACATGGCTTGAGTCATGGCTGTAAATGTGCCCATCACCCAAATAGTGTTCGTTGCACCTATCAGGTGGGTTTTGTCCCTCCCCTCCTCCCCCCTCCCCCACCCCACTTGATTTCCTGTGACTTTTACTTCCCTCTGCACTTCTGTGCCCATCGGTTAGTTCCGGTTTATTAGGGAGCACGTGTGGTGTTTGCTATTCCATTCTTGAGATACTTCACTTGGGATAATGGTCTCCAGTTCCTCCCAAATTGCTGCAAAAGGCATTAATTCATCCTTTTTATGGCCGAGTCCTACTCCATGGTACACCTATACCGCATTCTGTGAATCCACTCATGGATCGATGGGCACTTGGGTTGTTCCGCATCTTTGCGATTGAATGGTGCTGCGATGTGCAGGCTGGGCGCGGTGGCTCACACCTGCAATCCTAGCTCTCTGGGAGGCCGAGGCGGGAGGACGGCTTGAGCTCAGGAGTTCCAGACCCTCCTTAAGTCTTAATGCGCATGACAGGGCAGCTCTGAACTGACCCCCAGCTGGGGCCTCTGACTGCTTCCAGGAGTCTGAGTGTGGACAGCTTGAGAGCAAAAAGGGTGGTTTAAATATTCCCCCCGCCCAAGTTTATAAGTGAAGCAACTGGGGCACGAGATGGTGTGGGATTTGCCCCAGGTCACAGAGGTGGTCACCAGCGACTTGGGTCGCCTGGCTCCCGGGGTGGGGGGGTGAGCTCCTCCTGGCTGCAGGCCAGGCCAGCCCAGGCCAGGCTGGGGGAGCCGGGCGTTCATGCTGTCATTGGAAAAGCTGATTAACAGGGGCCAAGTTCAAACCGGCTGTTCCCCTCCTTAAAGTCGGGCCCCCTCTTTCTGGCGTCTCACTCGCCTTCCTGCTCTCACTGTGGCTTCGTGCCGAGGACTTACATGCAACCGTGGCACTCTCGAGTCTTGTCCCTGTGACTTCCCGTGAGCAGCCCCCCGGGTCGCACATACCGAGTCCCAGCAGTGGGCAAAGCGCGCCCACCTGCGTCATTGCGCAGACAATAACATACCTAGTGCCACAGCCTTCCCTCAGGGCCCCGGACCCAGCGACGGAGACCTAGTGCTGCCTCCTGGGTGGGCTGGGTGGGGTGGTGAGGGGGCACAGGGACACGAGCCAGAGGGACAAGAAGAGAAGATGGTGTCTGAGGACAAGGAGGGGCAGAAGGGAAAGCAGAAAGGAGCGGGAGCATGGCAGTTCAGGAAAGGGATCTGGTGTTTATTAAGCATCTACCACGTGCTGGGCACAGACATCAAAACCTCAGAGTGGCCCTGTGGGAAGAGGACTGTCACGCCCAGGGGGCTGGTGCAGAAAGTGAGGGTTGAAGAACAGATTTCGTTTATTCAGGGTCCCGCAGCTAGTAAGTGAGGGAGCTGGCCATTGAACCGGGTTGGCTGGCTGAGTGCCTAACTTCGGCAGCCCTTGGAAGGAAGGAAGGAGAGAGAGAGAAGGGGGAGGAAGAGGAGGACAAGAGAGGAGAGAGCAGGAAAGTGGAAGGCAAAAGAGAGGGAGGAATTGGTCTCAGAACCGTCTCCAGCTGACCTTGAACCAGCAAGGGCAGGGAGCAGGGAAGAGGAGGGACATGAAGGACCCCGGGCGACTGATCCCTCTTGCCAGCCTCGCCAAGTTCCTTCGGGGCCCGCAGCTGGATAACTCCCAGGGGACACAGAGCCACTGCCAGCTCTGGGTCTCCTCTCCAGAGAGGAGAACAGAGATTCTGAAGGTGCGATGAAGCCAGGCATTGGCCAAGAGGGGAGTTTGGCTCAAATCCGACCCCAGAGTCAGCTCTGATGGGATTAGACGCCACAGGGGGCGGGAGAAGATCAACTCCAATAGTGAGAACCACGAGGGACCTTCAAACTCATCTTGTCCGGGCCTTTTCCATTTTACAGTAGAGGGAAGTGAGGTTTCGAGGGCTGCCCTTTGAGGAATCTGCAAAGCAAGGTGGTGGTAGGCAGGGGTGGACGTGGTCAGCGATGCCTCGATTCCTCCCTAACATGTCCTGCTCTCGCTGGAGTCGGGGTGCCCTGGGCCTGTGGCTACCAAACCCTGGACTTGGAAAATTGTTGCTGGGAGTGGTACCCAGGACCAGGGAGGAATGAGAAAGCTACTCTCCTACTGGGAAATAACTCAGCTGGGACCCACTGCTTCCTCCCTTTGAGGACAAAATTGCTCTTGAATAAAGAGACGGAAGCAAGAGTGTGCGGCTTGGTTCTGGAAAATCCCACCACACACACCTGCCCCCTGCCTTCCCCATTCACCTCGCAGAGGCTTGGGGAGATGAAGCAATCTGTTTAAAGTCACAGAGCTCTGTTGCGAGACAGCAGGAAAAGCCCTGAAGTTCCCAACCTACCATTCCCAAACTTGAACGTCAAGAAATGTGCATTTTGAAAAAGTTTCTCTCCACTTATTTTCCTAGCAAACAAGGATACGGAAGGAGTAGTGACTAACTCAAGATAATATAGTGAGCCGTAGCAGATAAGGGACACAAACCCAGCCTCCACACTCCCAAGTCCATGCTCTTGGGCACTGCGTCAGGTCACCCAAGGGCAGATGTTCCCATCTACACATGCATCCATCCATTCCTTCACCCACCTATTCACTCACCCCACCACCTACTCATCCACCCACCTGTCCACCCCAACATCCACCCACCTACCCATCCATCTACCCACCCACCCA